CGACAGTCAAAATAAACATATTTATAACTAGTTTAGGTAGTTTGAGATAGGGCTGTGCGATTATGGCAAAAATCATAATCACGATTATTTTGACGATTATTCATTGACCATTTATTGAACTTTAAAACAAATAATATTTTACCAATAAACAAGATCAATAAATGTGTTGGAGCGCACTTCCAAAACCATACTAAACATATATTATTAATATGATAAATAAAAATAAATTAGACCAAAATAAATGAAATCAAATATGTTGCAGTGCACTGTCACAACCTACTGAAAACTCCTTAACATATAGCCAACATGTTGGTAAAACATATTCAACATATTCCACTCAGTTAAACGTTGAAGGCTGGCCAACCGTCATGGTCCAGAAGTAACAGGAAATAAATGTTGAACTACAATTTAAGACCAAATAAAAATGTTTAGGCCACCATGGCAAATGCTGGTAGGGCTGCTCATGTCATCTCTTAAAGATTTTTTTGCAAGACATACCAGCCTGTTTACATGGTCTGGTTTCAGAGATGAGCGCAGGCAGGTGACAATATTGCCACCTGTACTGAAGACCCTCTCTGAAGAGGAACTTGTGGCAGTGCTGCCACATATGACACAGGAAAAAAAAGAAAAGACTCTGAAGAACCCTTTCTTTGCCATTATATAAAAATAGTGTTGCTACAAAAGTTTAAATTAGGCTTACTAATAAGACAACTCAGATCTGAAGCTACACAGTAATCTGCTGCAGCAACAGTGCAATAAAAAAGACAACATTAATAGAATCAAACCCATTTTTTGTTGCATTTTATTAGAGTATAAAAATAAATGCCTTTAAAATAGGATGCAAGCAACACTAGTTTCTGAACTGATAGACTATAATCAATTTAAACAGAACAGATCTTAATGTTTGCATTCTTATACCATTTTGTACAATAATTATCATGAATAAATTCAAACAAACTAAAACTTACAGCAGATTAATAAACGGTATCTAAATGAGTTTTTATTATATCAAAAGCCTGTTGAAATGCTTCTGTTATTTTACTGTCCCCCAAAGCGCGTCGGCAGCCTCCAGGAATGCTTCTTTCACAACTTCGCCGTCTTCGAAAGACTTCATGTGTTTCGCAAGAACGTGCCTGACACGATAAGATGCTATGGTAGCAGCCTTGCTCTTGTTGTTGGGCCTGGTGAAAATGGACTGCTGTGCATTTAGCTGTGCTCTCAGGCCCCTCCCCTTTTGGAGCGTAGGGCAGAATCAGGAGGGAATTCCGTCTCGTAGCGTTTGTGCACTGTTTTGAAATGCCGCTTCTAAATAACCCTTCTTCGATAAAGCCACGCTCGCATTGCAGATGAGACAGATGGACTTTGAATTGGAATAGATACAAAAATAATCATCCTCCCACTCGGAGTGAAAATTATATATTTTGGGCTTTTTTGCTTCTGCCATAATTGCGGTCTTGTGTGTGTGCGGACTGTCACTCCTGTTGACCATCCATGCTGTTGACACGGACAACGTCAGCGAACTAGTGCACTGCTCACCAGCCACGCCCGGACACATGGGGTGAGGCCGGCCAATCACAAAGCTTTGATGCGTTCAAGTGCATTATTCTGGCACGGGAACATTATGTTACAGGACATTAACGATAAAACAGAATATTGTTGTTCTATTTTTAGACACATCTCGCGATCGACTGGGAATCTCCCCGCGACCCTTCTTTTTAATGAGTTGCTGCTCTTGTTCTGACATCTTCGCTTGCGCTGAACACTCACAACACATGTCACTCCCACGTGGCCGAGTGGGCTTTTAGGGAGGGGCGAAAGCGCACCCAGCAAAATAATCGTATTTTGTCAATTATGCTGTTTTCCTAATCGTCGCAAACCATAATCGTAATCGCGATTAAAATACGATTAATTGCACAGCCCTAGTTTGAGAGGTGTCTCCGTCCTATCAGATTAGACTTCACTCGCGTTTATGTCCATATCGAGAGAAAGATAAATAATCTGAATTCAGTGTGCAGTTTACTTTGACGCGGGGGTGAGCAGCAGAGGTGGGGAGAGGCGGGGCTATTGCCTCATCATTATCAGAAAATGATCGTATAGGGTGTACACACGGAGCCGTTGGACCCCCCAGAGCGTTGCCTATGCCGTTCTATCCACCTTGGGACCCGTTATCGTTTCCGCAGTCGTTTAGTGCCGTATTCGGTCTATATGACACTAAACAGTAACGCAAACGACCGTTTTCGTCCTTGTGTGGCCGGGGCCTTAGACCCTTACATCGGAAAATCAATCAAAGTTTATTCATATAGCCCAATATCACACATTTTACAATTGTCTCAGTGGACTTTACAGTTTGTACAGAATATGACACCCTCCGTCCTTGGACCCTTACATCGGAAAAGGAAAAACTTCCAAGGAAACCCCCCAGTTCAAGATTGATCTTATAGTTACATCAGATGTTCCTAAAATAATATTGATTGTTATTTAGCCTTTACTTATTACACAGTAAGGAGATTGATGGAACTCTTCTTATATGCATAGTAATGAATATTATTATATTTGATTTCTGCTTATTACTACACCCTGAACCTTTAGTGATAACGCTTTGCAGCTAAATGCTTGGGTGCAAGAGAGCTTTCTGGTTAGAATGTAGGTAAACGTGTAAATGTATCACTGAGTACAAGTATCTTGGTGTCGTGCTTGACCACAAGCTCAGATGGGATGTTTGGGCTGAGAAAATAAATGCTAAGTCTCAACAAAGAATATTTTTTTTACGTAAATTATTGTCTTTTAATGTCGGCAACAGAATGGTGAAGATGTTTTATCATGCTTTTATCGAAAGTGTGCTCTCATTCGGCATTATATGCTGGTTCGGCAACGCAACTGAGGCACAGAAAAAGTTAGTCAGGAGGGCCATAACATTGTCCAGTAAATTGACAGGAATCTCATTGGCTAATATAGAATGCTTATATAAGGACAGAGTTTTAAAACTGGCACACAATATTGTGAGTGACCTGAGGCACCCTCTTGCCTCTTACTTTGAATTGTTGCCATCCGGGCGGAGATATCGTGCCCCTTATTTAAAAAAGAACAGATCTAGGCTGTCTTTCGTCCCACAAGCCATCAAACTCCTGAACAAATGATGGTTAGGACGCACTGTTTACCCAGCTGGTCTGGCCCTGTCCCCCCTATTTCGCAAATGAGGGCCTATAGGCCCCTTGTCATGTCTGCCGATATCTGGTTTTCTTATGTCTGTTTGTTTTTATCTGTGTCTATGTTGTTGTCAGTGATGTATTGTCTTAACTTTTTAAATGCCTCTGTGATGTGCTGCAACCCATTTTCCCCTCGGGGACTAATAAACGAATACTATACTATGTAAACGGGTTCTTTCCGTTGATGTGTTCATCCTCTTTTGTAACAACAATCTAAACCGTTGTAACTAATATCCCAGTACATATTGAATAACAGAGGACTCAACTTATGTTGTTTGATACTTTGTTGTGTCAGTATTTCCTTGAAAGGCATGCTAATTAAGACTACCAAGCAGCTGTTACAGGATCCGTTTTCACTTTCAACATTAAAACGAAGCTCAAGTATGACAAAGTACCACCTTTTTTTGGTGGGCCGCTTTTGCCTCCTACATTTTAAGGGGAGGATCAATTAATGGATAGCCATAATCTTCCATAAAATAAGATCACAGAATAGCCTTAATGTGTGTGATTTCGTGGCAGAAATACTTAAGAGATACTGTCCCTTTTTGGCATATTCCTGTTTTTCCCACTTTTTAGTCGGAAACTAATAAATGCCAACTCACAAACAGACTTGTTTATCGTATTCTGTGTAGTTTGAGGTTATGTTTAACAGGGCTTTTAATACATTAGGCTATATTTGCTGGGAAATAGTCCAACGTGATATTTATTTCGCATGCATAGATTTCTCGTTACAGTTCTACAAAGCTTAAACTGGGAATAATATTGATGTTATAACTACTTGTATGCATTAGGGACTAATTGTATTAAGCAGGGAGCAGATTGTGACCAGCATACGTACATTTAGAACACCGGAAGTGTGGTTTACAGCTGCCTGTCTCTTGTCAAAACACACGTATCGTTACAGCAGCCGGGTAATACATGTATGGTTGATTAATACATGTGGTTGAAGTAAGTTAAAAGTAAGTAAGTAAGCTGATAAATATGGAGACTAATGATGCTTAATTATCAGAATGAGATTTTGAGGATAAGCCACGTCATTATGAAGCTCCGGGCTCAGCAGGATGCGCGGCTCGCAAACTGAACATTACGTTACACAGTTGTCAGCTTTGGTTACAAATTATATACCGACTTTCTTAAAGCGGCGACAACTGCACATGTTAAATGTTAATACACTCACCGTTTGTAAAAGCGACATAAGCCACAGGAGATACACCTCTCCCGACATTTTCGAGCCTTTTACTGCTTTGTTAGCATAAAGGAAAAGCTACACTAAGGACCCCTTCATTTACCGAAGGGCTGCCCATCGCGCCTGATAAACTTGAGTCAAAGTGCATTACAAAAAAAGACTAACATATACAAATAATTTAAACCAGAGCCAATAGACAATACAATGTACAATACAAAGACAATAGATGCTTGAACAATACAATATAATACAACCACATAGAACAATACGAATGACAAAAGTAATACGAAATATAACAATAAGAGGAATGTCTTCAATTACACCCAGAATTAAATGAAAACCTTTTGATTTTCCATAAGAGGTATTATACGATCCTGCATGTTTAATATTTTAAGGAAAGGAATCATTTAAAAGAATATCATTTAATTTTTCGATCTCAGGCATATTCTAAGGCCGACTCAGTATTTCTTCTTCGGCAGTGTTGTTCTCATGGGTAAAAAAGAACTGCGACATCTGCTGTCCGCGTGCAGGTCAGTATGTGAAAACCGTCCAATCCGGTTTAAACGAGTGGAGACTGTCAGCCAATAGGAAGCCTCGGCTCTTTGGTGGACTGTTTACACACCCAATGGCCTGAGCGGTAGTGGTCTGTCCGCGGTGCGGTGGTGGACACACACTCCACGGGACGGGACAGCGCTACATGGGGGACTGAGGCGACAGCGGCTGGTACCACAGTGACACCCCGGAGATATCAATCCGCGATTTGGAGATATCTCTAGGGCGCTAGCCTACGACGCTCCGCTATTGGGAACCGACTTAATGAAATAATCAAGCCGAGCATGAACACATCGCATTTGAGGTAACGAGAGGATTTGAACACTGGGAGATATCCACAGTAACACAGGGAGAGAGGGCCATGCTCACACACTCAGCCGCTTTGTAATCACCGTCGTCGATGTGTGTGTGTTTACAGTATCTCCTTCTCTGAGCAATGGACTGACCAATTCCCTCTCTGGATGATTTGATGGGGCTGCTCAGAGTCATGATGCCGCCCAAGTTGCAGCTCATCGCGTTGCTGGCGTTCGCAGTGGCCATGTTCTTCCTAGAAAACCAGATCCAGAAGCTGGAGGAGTCCCGCGGGAAGCTCGGTAAGTTCAAGGGGCTGCAGCCTCAATCGCATCCCGTCACAACACTCCAGCATCACCGCAGCCTGGGTGTGAGGTCTCCCTCTTGAGTCACTGTGTGTATACTGTGTGTATGAGCATCACCATTTGGGTCAGTGTGCTGAGAGAGCAGTTCGGACAATGGTACACAGTCATGACATGTTTAATGATCTAGGAGCTGTTCTGTTGAACTTTGCATGGACATTTAGTAGAAATGGAATGCTACACATACTATGGTATCTCTCATCCTTATGTGTAATGCAGTGTGAGATTGAGTGGGTGCCTGTTGCCCTGTGACAGTGTGTTTGCATCTGACGATTTTTTTCTGAATGTCAGAAAAACGGAAATTGCCACACAGATGAGGTCTTTGTTTATCTTCTGTACGAGCAGCAGTCCAAAACCCAACATTATTTAAGTAAAAATATTTAAATACAAAGAAAAGCAGCAAATCCTGATAATTAAAAAAACTTGAACTGGATGATCTTGATTATTTCTATTTTTAAAATAACCCCTTTTCAAATAAGTTGTAGATAATTTCCTGTCATTGACATACATTGATCAATCCAAAAACCAACCAACAGTTCAGTTGAAAGTATCAGACATGCACAATTGAAGCTGGTGGTTCTGGGAATCAAATAAACCTTTTTCTGCTCCGAGTAAGTTTTAGTGATGAATACATTGCATGGGGACCCTACCCTGCTGCAAATCCTCTCCTGTCCCTTTACCAAACTCTCTCCTGTGATTAAAACGTGATTGTCACTGTGTTCAAATCTCATTGTGAGCTCCCATCAGGGGCTCCCTCCCAATAAAGATCTGGGACATTGCAGGATTTACTCTCTGGTGCCTCCACTGTGGGTATTTTCTAAGCAACAGCAGAGCGGTGCAGACAATCTGAAGGGAGCAGCCAGCGATCCTCAGGGGGTCAAACACCAATTCCTGTATCTTATGATGAGCTGGAGCCTGGCATGAAAAGAGGCAGCTAACAGGCTATTTTCACGGCAGACATTTTGCAGGATGAGCTTAGGTATAATCAATAACATAAAAAAGAAATAGCTGCAGTGATTCCATGTAGGTGAGGCAAACCAAGGCCCTTGAGTTGTGCGTGCTGCTTGCTCATTCAGATGGCTTACAGGGACACTTAATGGAACAGAGAAATCGTTAATTTTACTAGCAGCACCTGTGCCAGGACCATGTCTGCTGTGAAAGAACACCTATTACATTTGAACTGTTGTCTATTTTAAATTCCCTGCACACATTCAGGTGTCATTCTGAATAATTAGACTCTGCCACGATCATGAATTTAGGTTGATTAACTGGCACACAAATAATTGCAATATATAAGGTTTTCTTCTTTTTTTAAATAATTTGATACTACAATACCTACTGTTGTGTTTGCACATTCAACCTTAATCCTTATCATTTCATTGGCTACTCATCAACATGATGCCATCAATGACAAAATAGTGTTAATCTTCCAAATAGTTTGCTATGTGTAACAATTAGGGATGCACGATATTGGTTTTTTGAAACCGATACCGATAACTTTCTGCTTCTGAAGACCGATACCGATAACACAAATTTGTTTACGCCACTAATTATTTTAACGCGATTAACGCATGTGTATTTTTTTCCTCGGCCGCCCCGTAGTTTCAGAGCGCATCGAGTTTAAAATACCATCTACAAGCTGATGCTGACAGCCCCGCTCCTGTCGCCCGCTTGTGGCAGACCACACTTCCACGCTCACCGGCAGGCACCGACTGGCCATCTGGAGGACCGGGAGGGTGTGTGTATGTGTGGCCCGAGCGAGAGAGAGACCTTACGTGCATTGTTGTTGTTAGCATCTGGTGCTAGCTAGCTGCGCTAACGGATATAAGGAGATGTTTAAATGAAAACAGAGGAGCGACATTTCGCCACAACTGCGCCGAGCACTTGACTTTATGCAGTAGCCAGACAGTGGGACATTGTACGAAAAGTCAGCACACTCAGCACGGATAGTGCGCAACATGATTGCAGCGTCCAGGCAGCTCCGGTTCGAGCATATGCCTTGAGTTGCACATAGCTCCAACGCCCATACCACCGACGACATGTTTGTTTACTGTCCTGGCTTCACGGCCGCACACCATTTACGTCACAGCCAGGCATGAGTTAGGGAGCGCTGGATTTGTGAAAAACTCCCCTCTTCCTAAACCACTAATACCACAGTACTGGCAAAACGGGAGGAGCCGAGTGAAAAACAAGCGCCCCTCATCCCAATCCACCCACACCGCAGTATTTTTGTCTTTTTTTTTACCCAAAAAATATATTGTATATTATCGGGGCTATTAATACTGGTATCGGGTTTATCGAGGTGACGTCATAATTCCTAATATCGGACCGATAATTATCGTGCATCCCTAATTTTTTCCCAATCTTGATTTTGAACTATAGCGCGAATAAACGATTAAAACAAAAGTGTGTTGGAGAGAAACTCCCTCTTGAAGGAACACAGGGATTTTAGCCTTTGCAGACCATTTACATGCACAAAAACCTATAGAACACACTACATGAAAGGGAAAACCCCAAAAAGCATAACAGGGCCTCTTTAAACATGAATTAAATTGCCAGAAATTAAAAAACTATCATTCACAATTCACTCCTCTGAGCTTCTCAAATTTGGCCTTGCTGCTTTTCTTAGTTTCCCATGTTTGCTTTACTGCGGCTAACAGGTAGGTGAGTAGACGGACATTTCAGATGAGTCAAAGATGATGCTATGATGGGAAGTTTCCATTCCAGACAGCAAATAAAACAGTTAACCATCATCTTAATTGTATAAAGTATCCCAGCTGAATTTCCACATGTTGGAACAATCAGGAGTCCGGAAGGTAAAGATGGCTATATTGGTCTGTGGCATGGTCTACTGCTGTTGTAAAGGGCTATACTTTACACGCAGGGAAAACACACACACTCTCCTGATGGTGAAACAGAACCTGAGAGGCCTTTCCCCTCACGGCCCACCACCACGAGAATCTGTTGACTTGGCACTAAGCACTGATGGATGACTGGTCCGAGCAGACGTCTGTATACTGGAGCTCTGAATTATGTGCTGCATAGCCAAATAGTTGTGACTGAGGCTTTCACTGGCAGGATGCTGTCAGCATGCCAGGGCTGGTAACATTACCTGGTACGCCTGCTGGACGTCCATCTGTGCAACAATTAAAGCCAGCGTCACAATCACAACAAGGACAGGTGGTGTCCAAACCCAAATCACAAATCCCAATCAACCATGAATCCCAAATCAACCATGAGTGATTTTTACGTGTTTTAAAAAACGAAAGAAGCTCTACATGCGCCATCCTGCATCCACATGATCAAAATTGCCTCTGTGTGGGTGGGAATGACCAGTACGTTCTCCTCACAGCGTGGGTTCCTATTACCTGACTCAGGTTGAATCATTCCCCCCATTAGAAACCTCCCGTAGGGCAGACAAGCTGTGATTTGCTTCCAAGCTAATCTTCCAAGTTTCCATGAGAAGTCTCCTGCGTTACAATCATGCCGCGATGCAGTTTGGTTTCCTGCTGCGGACTTAATTCCTTTTTTTGACAGTCTTTCTCTCCTGCTGCACACCGGTTATTGGGTCAACAGTAACGCAGACTGATTTTGCAGGGATGGATGGGCATAAATAACAACGTTTCTTTAGTAAAGAGCCTCAAACGAGGATTCAGGGTCCCTTTCTCCAAAGGGCAATCCAGGTAATTTTAGACGCTCACCTTGAAGAGTTGTACGCTATTATTTTGAAGGCTGAGACTAACATTATTGCCTTTCCTGCCTAATGATACGTACATTTTAACTGTTGATTATATCTTCTCAACAGAGAGCGACACATTGATAAGTCTATACTTTCAGTGTGCGAAAAAGTACACGTCCCACCGTCCTGGACGTGTTATTTACAATATCGGACAAGTAGATCTGTCAATTGACTTGTCCGGCGGACAAGTGATGTTTATTGATAAATTATTGATACATTCAGTTTACAAAAGGCAGGACTCATTGGCAAATTGTACGTGTCCGCCATTGTTCGTTTTGAAATGTTAGTTTCGGTTCTGCTTGTCGATTCCTAAGGAAATGCATCTCGCCGCTTTCTGTACAGTTAGACGGGGGCGGGGCGGGGCGGGAAGTGTAGCACAGTGGCAGGGTTGGGAAGCACAACTCAGTTCCGAGTAGGAACAAATAACAATTGTCCAGTACCGGGATTAATAAGAGTTGTGAGGACAGGAGGCGAGGCCGAGCCCCGCGGACTGCAGCTCTCTCTATGCTCCGTATCAGCTGATCGCTGCACGGTGCAGCTCAGCGTCTCTCTCTCTCTTTCTACACACAGCAGATCCGCTGCCCGTTTAACAGCCTCATCTTTGTCAACCTTTCTTATGTTCTTTCTCTAACACGTAATGAAGGTTATTAAGCATTTTAGCTCCTATGTTGTTAATATTGACCGCCATTTCCTTTATGAAGTGAAGCAGCCTCCCTGTCTGTGTCCTCGCGCTGTCCTCACATCCCCGGACCCCCAGACTCGGAGGAGCATAGGGATGTCAGTATTGTTTATGAAGCAGGGTATAGAAAGTACATTATTGAAATGAAAATACTATTTATTTACTTTTACAAACAGTGAGCAGCTGCAGCATGTGTATTGCAGGACATGTGTAAGCGTGCAAGCGTCTTTGAGTTGTAGAAAAGCGCTAGGCCTATAGGCTATATAAATATAATGTATTATTATTATTATTAGGTTATGTCCTATGTGTTGGACATGTGTGGTTGGACTCTGTCTCACAGGCAGGTTGCAGTGTAACATCAGAGGAGACTGGGCCAATTGTACATTCTCAAACTGCACCACTTAGAACTAACTAAACAATGCAGAGATTAATTTTATATAATTGTATTCAATAACTGTAAGAAATTCAACAGTATGAAGTGATTTGTAAATAGGAATACAGATTTGACTTAATGTTTTCATA